GCCAGAGCCCAGCAGGTCGAGGCTGCGGTGGCCAGGAGCGGCCACTGCACTCCAGTCTGGGCGACAGAGTGAGACTCCAAATCAAAAAAAAAAAAAAAAAGAATCATGCATTAAGGATAAAACATATTTTTTTCTATATTTCCCCCCAGTCGTGGACACAAGATAAATACATAAAGGTTAAAATTGCATCCCAGCTGGGCACAGAGGCTCATGCCTGTAATCCCAGCACTTTTGGGAGGTGGAGATTAGAGGACTGCCTGAGCCCAAGGATTCGAGATCAGCCTGGACAACTTGGTGAGACCTCGTCTCTACAATAAATAAAGAAAAATTATCCAGGAATCGTGGCACATGCCTGTAGTTCCAATTACTTAGAAGGCAAAGGCATAAGGATTGAGCCCAGCAGGTTGAGGCTGCAGTGGCTGTAAGCATGCCACTGTACACTCCAACATGGGCGACAGAGTGAGACTCCAATTTAAAAAAAAAAAAAAAAAACGACATCCCACCAAAAAAAATTCCAGTAAGTCTGGCAATTAAACAGTATTATCTTTCAGGTTAAACACATTCTATATCCAGAAGAAAAAGCGTTCTTCAGCTACGGAAATGGCAGTATGGCAAAAGTGGGTATTTGACACTTTAGTTTCCCCTGCATATAGTAAGTCCCCTACATACAAACCTTCAAGTTGCAAACTTTCAAAGATGCCAACATGCATTTTCATGTATTATCTCTCTCCACTAGGTGGCAGTATAGCCTGTTAAATAAATATAATACTATATTGACGATTGTGTTAGTTGGATGCTTAGGCTAACTTTGTTGGACTTACAACAATTGGACTTACAAACACACCCTAAGGACCGAACTCATTTGTATATGTGGGAAAATACTTTATATAGTCTCACTCCGGGGTATGAAGTTATGTAAGATGTAAATTTAAATGGCTTTAAAGCCACTGGTCTAGAAATATGAAAATGAGGAATAATGAAGAGGATTTAGTATGGGCAGAAGCAAACAGCAGGCCCACTGGGCTCCAGCGTTTCCACTTCAGCATTCCAAGGAGCCGGAACTACAGCATGTATTCAACTATTTTCTAGCACATGTGGTTAGTTGCCAATCTCTATTACTGAGTTACATACCGTTTTAGAAACCTAATGGAAAGAAAGAATTCTAGAAGATGATAGCTCATGTGCACAAACAAGTTCAATCCTAAACTAGATAGCTATCAAACTTGGTCTTAACTGAATAAGCTGGTTTGGCTGGCTCTTAAAAATAATAATGTAGCCGGGTACGGTGGCTCATGCCTACAATCCCACCATTGTGAGAGACAGAGGTGAGAGCACTGCCTGATTCCAGGGGTTCGCCACCAGTCTGGGCAACTTGGTGAGACCTCGTCCCTACAATAAATCAATAAAACTAGCTGGGTGTGGTGGTGCATGCCTGTAGTTCCAGGTACTTGGAAGGCTGAGGTAGAAGGATCACCTGAGCCCAGCAGGTCGAGGCTGCAGTGGCCGTGAACATGCCACTGCACTCCAGCCTTGGCAACAGAGACTCTGACTCACAAAACAAAACAACAATATAGCTGGGTGCAGTCACTCATGCTTGTAATCCCAGCACTTTGGGAGGTGGAGGTGAGAGAACTGACCGAGTCCACAGGTTTGAGACCAGCCTAGGTAATATGGTGAGATCTTGCCTCTACAATAAATCAAAAAATTAGCCAGCTGTGGTGGTGCATGTCTATAGTTCCACAGTTGGAAGGCTGAGGAGGAAGGATTGCCTGAGCCCAGCAAGTTGAGGCTGCAACAGCCATGAGGGTGCCACTACACTCCAGTCTGGGCGACAGAGGAAGACACTAACTCAAAAATAAATAAATAAATAAATAATGTTTCTTTATCGTCTTTCAAGCTATAAGCAGAAAAGACTATGGTATATGCAAATGACCACTTCCAAGTCTGAAGTTTGGGAGAGGGTTGGACTAGGCTAAAGGCCCATGTCCTTCAAATCCAATGAGTATCTCAAAAAGGTTGGGCCTGGTGATGCAATACTGGGACCAATAAAAGAAACATAGAGCCGGGCGCAGTAGCTCATGGTTGTAATCCCAGCTCTTTGGGAGGCAGAGGCAAGAGGTCTGCCTGAGCTCAAGGATTCGAGACCAGCCTGGGCAAGCTAGAGAGACCTCGTCTCTACAACATATAAAAAAATAAGCCAGGTGTGGTGGCGCAGCACACCTGTAGTTCCAGCTACTTGGAAGGCTGAGGTGGAAGAATCTCCTGAGTCCAGCAGGTTGAGGCTATGGTAGCCGTAAGTGTGCCACTGCACTCCAGCCTGGGCAACAGAGTGAGACTCCAACTCCAAAAACAAAATAAAAGAAACCACATAATAAATACACATTATAATGTCAGGTAGTGCCAGAGCTACAAGGTAAAACAACGTACAGAGGAGTAAAGATAGAGTGATGCAAGGAGTGGGACAGTGGTGAGGTCTATTTTGGATCAGGAAGAAGAGAAGGTGTATTTGAAAAAATATCTGAATGAAAGGAATCAGCTAAGCAAAGGTGTGTGAGGAAGAGTTCAGGGCAAAAGAAACAACAATTGAAAAAGTAACGAGACACATTCTGGATATGAGCATAAAGAACAGAAAGGCAGAGAAGAAAATGGTAATTATGGAAAGAGCCAGATCAAGGGCCTGTGTAGAAGCAGCATAGAATTTACTCTGACTATGATGGGATGTCACTGAAGGGTGTGATATGAAATGTTTGCCTTTTAAAAAACCTTTACTAACTACTATATTAAAGAACTGAATCTAGGAAAGAATAGTAAAGGGAAGACATTTAAGAAGATGGGGTTTGGTGAAATGGAAAGCATGTTGACAAGTGGAATATTCTGGATAAGTTGACAACAATCAAGACTTTAGAAATTTGAGTACAAAGCTAGAGAGTCACCTGTTGAGGGCTAAATGTTCTGGTTGATATAATCTCAAATTAGTATATAAAAAGATGGGAAAAAATGAGAAGGGGAATATTTAGAGGTACAAGAAGCACAAGCAGCAGACTCAGTAAAGGAAAACGGGGAGACTACATGAGAAAAGCCAAAAGTGCAGTTTCATAAAGAAACAATGTCAAATGGTACAGAATTGCTGAGGAGATAGAAGGAACCAAGAATTTTACAAGATAGCAATTTCAGAAACTTGGACATCTTGACTGCTAGCTATAAAAGGCCTCATTTTCTCATTACAAAGTTTAAATTAGTTTTCTTCTTATTTCCCAACTGGAATCCTGAAACAACTGAATTAACTGAAAAGGAGGTCATCCAGGTGGTCTACTCACATAAGCCTTTTAGATTTGGGTCTAGAGATCAAAGACAAGAAAGAAAAATGTTAAAGTCCAAGAAACAAGTTCCTGGCAGCCTGCAAGAAAGCAAACATCCAAACAAACAACAAAAAACCAAAGCAAACGTCCACGTCACAAATGGCCTCCAAGGACTGGTGGCAAGGAGCTGCAGGTAGCCTATAAAAGCTAAGAGTGGTGGCCGGCAAGAGCTAGCAAGAAAACAGGGACTTCAGTCCTATCGCTGCAAAGGATTGAACTCGCCAACAAACTGCAGAACTTGGAAGAGGTCCCTGATCTCCAGATGAGAACCACAGCACGGCCTTGTGTGACCCTGAGCAGAGAACCCAAATCACTCATGCCCAGACCTCTGTCCTACAGAAACTGTAAGCTAATGCGTTTTGGTTTTTGAGTTGGAGTCTCACTCTGTCACCCAGGCTAGAGTACAGTGACATGCTCATAGCCACAGCAGCCTCGACCTGCTGGGCTCAGGGGATCCTTCCGCCTCAGCCTTCCAAGTAGCTGGACCACAGGCACAAGCCACCATGCCCTGCTAATTTTTTGATTTATTGTAGAGATGAGGCCTCATCATGTTGCCCAGGCCAGTGCTGAACTCCTGGACCCAGGCAATCCTCTCATCTCAGCCTCCCAAAGTGATGGCATTATAGGCGTGAGCCACCGCACCCGGCCTATTTTGTGTTGGTTTACACTGCTAAATGTGCGGTATCTGTTACATAGCAACAGAAAACTGATACAGGTCCCACTTTCCTATGGAAGAGGCTGCTTCTTTTACCCTAGCAAGAAACAGGGAGAGAAGCACATTTAAAACAAACAAAAAAACCACACAAAGCTTGACTTTTACGATCTCTTAACCACGATGCCTAGGCAATTTATTCAAATATTGCTTGACCTGTTTTGCAATACACAACATTTTGCCAAAATGTCAGTTTTCTGAAAATCGTGAGCCAAGGATTTAGTTTTACTCCCGATTTCAGAAAGTCGCTTTGACAATTATGCCAAACTGAAAGGAACTGTGTGCTTAGGTTCCTCGCGTGTCAGTCCAAGTGGTCTCAGCGCCTAGAGACACATATCCCCAACCTGACTTCGGGAATCAACCCCAAGGTCATGACCCCTGTCCTTCCTTAGGTGCTAGGAGTCTGAGCCCCACAGACGAACATCTTTCGCCTTTGTCCGAATCAAGAGTAGCCCGGAGGGGCTCTCAGCTACGAAAAGAAAGACCGTCTCTCCCGGACAGTCACAGCCAGACCCGGCCAGTCCCGGCACCTCCTTATTAAAGATGCAACAGGCGAGTGCTACGTTCGCCCTGCCGGGAACTGTAGTCCTGCCCCCTCGACCTTCAACACTGGGAGCCGATCGCGCGCCCAACCGGCAACGCAGACGCCGGCAGCCCGGATTGGTCCGCGACTGGGGCAGCGCGGCCCTGATTGGACGACGCGACCGCGAAGCCACGCCCCCCGCCTCCTCGCCACGCCCCACCCCGCTCCGCAATAACCTCGAGTCATCCCGGGCGGGCGAAACCCCAGCGACCGCTGGTGCGGAGGGCTGCCCTGAGGAACACGCCCTTGTCCCGAAGCCCAGGCAGCGCCACCGCCTCGCCCGCTTCCCGGTGGCTGTCCCGAGCCGGCTTCCTCACGCGCTCTCCCGGGGAGCCCCGGCGCTCACCTGGGCGGCGGCGGTCACGCCGGAGAGCTGGCAGACCCGCAGCATCTCGAGCGAGCGGACGGCGCGACTGCTGGGCGCGGGAGCGGCCGCGGCGGCGCGAGGGTAGCAAGGCGCGCGTGCGTGCGTGTGTGCGTGCCTGCGTGTGTGCCGCCTCTCCGCGCCGGGCGCACCGGAAGGGCGGCCGGCGCCACAGCGCACGCGCGGCCCTTTGGGCGCGCTCCCGCCTCTCCGAAAGCGGCGAGCAGGCGGTGGGAAGGGCGGGTTCTCCTTCCGGGTTGCGGAGCGGCTTCCGTCTGTGACCCCGAGGTGGGTGACCGGGTGGAGGGGTCTGGTGGGAAGGCGCGTCGAGTTCTGCCTTCGAATGCGGGCGGAAGACGCGGAACTGTGGCTCTTGGGAGAATGAAACTAAGAAAGCGTCCCAGCCATCTCTTAACTGGAAGGTTCGTAGGAGGAGTCGCTGTGGCCCAAGTGGCGTGAACGACGGCGTGGTTCCCGTGGTTTGGGCTGGCGACCCTTGGGCTGGAGTCCCGGTCGCGGGAGACCGGGTGGGCCCAGCTAAAGCGACCAGCGGCGGGGCGGAGACGGGGGTCCCGGGTCTTTGCGCTCCCCGGCTTCTGCTGCTTCCAGATTAAACCCACACCGCTTTCTCCGTCCCGTTTTTATTTTGGGGAGATGCTTTTGTCCGCGGCGTGTGTCTGGGTTGGAAGCGAAGTCCGTGCAGAGCGCCCCCGACTCGAGTCAAAGTGAAACGTGTTAAATGTTGAAGGCGGTATGAAGATCCCACGTAGGGGCCGCGCCTTCGGGTCGCCTCCCGCTGTGGGAGCTTGTCTGTCCTCTCAGTACATCACTAAAGGGAAAGCCAAGACTCCAGGTGTACGCCAGTATCGGTGTGTTAGTATTAGGGCTCTTAGCGTCTCATCACAACAGCCTGGGAGCTAATTAGCTTGATATCTTGTATCACGTTTGCAGAGTGCTTCCAGGTCTCAGCTGGGCGACTTAATACCACGTGGTGCTGTCGGCGAAGGGAGACCACGCTGCTCCTCCCGATTGTGAAACGGAGAGGTGGATTTGGAAATCATCCAAAGTCAAATAATTGCTATGTTTGTATACGTTCTGTGCTTTTCAGGATACTAAAGTGATTACATGATACTTTTTTTTTTTTAAGTTAGAGTCTCACTTCGTCGCCCAGGCTGGAATGCAGCGATACGCTCCCGGCCACCGCAGCCTCGACTTGCTGGGCTCCGGCGATCCTTCTGCCTCAGCCAAGTAGCTGGAATCACAGGCATGCGCCACCACGCCCGACTAATTTTTGATTTATTGTAGAGACGGGTCTCGCCAAGTTGCCTGGGCTGTTCTCGAACCGGCGAGCTCAGGCAATCCACTCACCTCGGCCTCCCAAAGTGCTGGGATGACAGGCTTGAGGCACTGTGCCCGGCTCTTTTTTTTTTTTAATGCTAGAACTTAAAGAGATTACCAGAAAGGTAAAAATATTATCACTCTTCTCATTATTTATTTTTTTATCTGAAGATTGTTACTTTTCATTCAAATATGTTATTTAAGATCAGGTGTGGGCCAGGCTCAGTGGCTCAGCCTGTCATCCCAGCACTTTGGGAGACCAAGGTGAGAGGATTGCCTGAGCCCAGGGGTTCGAAACCTGAAGGAAACCAGAACATAAGCTGACAAGGTCCTTATGTTTCTTGGCTTGTGTTCAAGAAACCAAGCCTATGTTTCCTTTGTCTCCCCTGATCTTTGGCTGCTCTTCTATGGATAGTAGAGCCGCCCCCTGGCTAGCCCAGAGGCTGTTTTTCTTAGCAATTGCCTTGCTTTTGACTTAGAAAACATAGTTGTTAAGATATGTATGGTTTAGTCATTAATACTTACCTGCTTGTGTGATTTAGTTTAAACATTAACATATATCCTGCTAGAACTTAAAGAACTTAAAGCAACTTGTGTGGTTTTGCTGTCCTTTGTGTGATTTTGCTCTATATAAGAGGTATACTTAGAAAATAAACTTGCTCTCTTGCTCTCACCCATTGAGGAGACCAACCTCCCAATCCCGCTGTTTTTGTCTTTCTTTTCTCATCCTCCATACCCCCTTCCCCACCTCAGGCCCTGCTCAGGGGAGGGAGGCTGGAACTCCTCAAGTGAAACCAGCCTGGGCAACTTGGTAAGAGCTCGTCTCTACAATAAATAACCAAAAATTAGCCAGGCATGGTGGCTCATGCCTGTAGTTCTGGCTACTTGGAAGGCTGAGGTGGAAGGATCACTTGGGCCCAGCAGGTTGAGGCTACAGTGACCATGAGCATGCCACTGCACTCCAGCCTGGGCAACGGAGTGAGATTCCAACTCAAAAAAAAAAAAAAAAGATCAGGCGTGGTGGCTCATACCTGTAATCCCAGCACTTTGGAAGGCAGGAGAACTGCTTAGCCCAGGTGATTTGGCTTGCAGTGAGCCATGATCGTGCCACTGCACTCCAGACCCCAACCTGGGCTACAAAGTGAGAATGTCTCTTTAAAAAAAAAAACACAAAACTCTCTCCTGTCCTGTCTGTTGTTCCCTTCACAACAAGTCTTCCCTTTAATAAATCTACCTTTCTTAATAAAAAAAAAAAGTCATTTGTGTTAACATGTTTATAATTGTTATTTCAAAATAAATTAGTGTGGTAGGCAGAATAATGGTCCCCCAGAGATGTCCTGGGCAACTTGGTGTTATTTATTTATTTTTTGAGTCAAAGTCTCACTGTCGCCCAGACTGGAGTGCAGTGTTATGCTTACAGCCACTGCAGCCTTGACCTGCTGGATTCGGGATCCTTCAGCCTCTGCTTCCAAGTAGCTGCAACCATAGGAGTGTACCTCCACACTGGCTAATTTTTAAAATTTTTAAGCCGGGCTCAGTGGCCCAGCCTGTAATTCCGCACCTCTGGGAGGCTGAGGTGAGTGGATTGCCCGAGCCCGTGGGTTCGAGACCCACCTGGGCAACTTGGTGTGAAAGGCACAGGGAACAGTCAGAAGGGCGTCTCCCGAGATGGTGCTAAACACTATATAAAACCAAACAAAGACAACAAAGGCCCTAAGCTCCTGCTTTCCCCGCGCGCGCGAAACTTAAACCTATGCACAAATATTATCTCCCTATAGGAATACTACCTCATAGCCCCCTCCAATAAAGACCCTAGTACGGCACTGGCCGCCCCCTCCCAAACCAATAAATACAGACCTCTCTCGCCATCGCCCTCTCGCTTTCCCTCCCTTACCAGTCGGTTACAGACCCTCTGTAGCCGCTGCTCTAATAAATCTCTTGGCCTCAAAGGGTGTTGAGTCTCGCTGCGCACCACGGTCTTTCGTGGTGAGACCTCATTTCTACAATAAATCAACAAATTAGCCAGGTGTGGTAGCGCATGCCTGTAGTTCCAGCTACTTGGAAGGCTGACGCGGAAGGATCGCCTGAGCCCAGCAGGTCAAAGCTGTAGTGGCCGGGAGTGTGGCCCTGCCCTCCAACCTGGGTGACAGAGTAAGACTCCAACTAAAAAAAATAAAATTTTATTTTAGAGACGAGGTCTTGTCAAGTTGCCCAGGCTGGTCTCGAACCTGTGGGTTCAGGCAATCCTCTCGCCTCCACCTCCCAAAGTGCTGGGGATTACATGTGTGAGCCACCGCATCCGGCCTAATTTTTAAACTTTGTAGAGATGGGGTCTTGCTATATTGCCCAGTCTGGTCTCTAACTCCTGGCCTTAGGCAGTCCTCCCACCTCCCAGCAGGCTGGGATTACAGGTGTGAGCCACTGTGGCTGGTCCACAATCTTAATTTCCAATACAGTCAATACCAACAGATACAATCATGTAAGTTAAAGCCTTTTTTGGATCTTCATTAATTCTTAAGGCTGTAAAAGGGTTCTGAGAACAAAAAGCCTAAAAACCACTGCTCTAATTAAATCTGTTGTCATTCTTTCACCTTGGCTGTTGCTATTCTCACCTACCTATAATGGCTTTGCCTTTGTTAAAATTGTCCTTGTGGTTAAAGATCCATCTTTACAGTCTCCCTCCTCATCTCTTGATCACTGCAACCAGAGGCTTCTCCCTTCACTTTTAACTGCTCCAATGAGTCACTGTCTGCCTTGCATTGTTTATGCTGTGTACATGACTCTATTAAGCGAACGCTTTGGCGGGGTGCGTTGGCTCATACATGTAATCCCAGCACTTTGGGAGGCCGAGGCGAGTGGATTGCCTGAGCCCAGCAGGTTCGAGATCAGCCTAAGCAACATGGCAAGACCTTGTCTCTACAGTCAATCAAAAATTAGCTGGGCGTGGTAGCACATGCCTGTAGTTCAGGCTACTTGGAAGGCTGAGGCAAAAGGATCACCTGAGCCCAGAAGGTCCAAGCTGCGGTGGCCGTCAGTGTGCCACTGCACTCCAGTCTGGATGACAGGGTGAGACTCCGACAAAAAAAAAAAAAGAACGCCTTGAGACCAGGTGTTTCATCCTTACCCATTTCAACCAGTATATAATGATATATTTTGTATATGTATGGAGTATCTCTAGATACTCCCTATGGATAAAATCTTAGGCCAATGGGATAGAGGAAAGAGTTTTGTTGGGTGCGGGGAGTTTCCTGTTTGAATGCACATCAGAAAAGATGAGGGGGACCCAAAAAGACCCTGGAATTTATCAATTAAAAAGTTGTGTATTCTCAGAAACCAAGAACAGAATACCATATGTTCTCACTCATAAGCGGACCTTGAACAATTATGATAGTATAAGAAAGGGCTTGGCAGTTGAGGGAAACTGCCAGGGGAGGGAGGGGCACACCTCAACAAGGGTGCCTGCATAATCGATGTTTGTATACCTAACCCTGAATTGTACCCCACATTTTATAATAAAAAAAGTTGTGTATTCTTACATGTTTAAACTTGTCTTCTTCAAAGTACTCTCTGATGCAATACACCTATATCAAGGTGCTTTTTTCACTCCTGAAACGTTTTTGAGCTCATGGATTTTGATGCCTTTGAGTGCTTCTGCCATTTTTTGGGGGTTTCACCTCTTCCAAACTGGCAAAATGTTTCCCTTCGAGGACTTCTTTCTTCCAGGGAAACAACAACAAAGTTTCTCACGGCCAGATCCGGTGAGTTCGGGGGGTGGAGCATGGGGGTCCTGCGGTTTTTGGTCAAACTGCTCACCACTGGCGCGGTGAGGGCAGGTGGGCCGGTATATTCCCCTGTCATGAAATGGGCAAACGGGTTGAAGCGCCCCAAAAACTCATCGAAGCTGACTGGCACCCCGATGCCTGCGCGTTCCTGGAACATTTAAGCTAGAGGGGAAGCTGGGCACAAGTAGCCCGCCCCCCAAAATAGAATTCCACTTTTTTTGGGGGGGATTCCCTTTGTATATGTGCACTAATCCTCTGGAATAAATAGGGAATGTGCAGTTACCGGGGAAAGTCGAGATGCTGTTCTTCCAAACGACAGTATTGCTAATTTTTAAAAACACGTGTGTGTAACATCCTTCGGTTTTTTGCGTTTTTGTTTTTTCATTTATTGTACTGGGAGCAGGGCTCAAACATCTTTAGAATACTTACAATCACCTGGTTATAACTGGCGTGCAACTTTTGTCCAAAATGGCTGTCAATAATGTGACTTTTTTCCCATTTATCCTAACGCCGTCCCGTTTTGGAAGTTAGCAAGTGTCTTCTCAAATTTAATAAAAAGAGCGAAAGAAATGGCTTCGAGTGCGCCGCGTGCTTCATGGAGATCCTGCCACCGTGTGCTGGCAAGGAACGTTCGCCAGCCTTCCCCGGGCCGTCGTCTGACAGCGGCCAAGGACAGATGCGGCGCGGCCCGCTCGGGTGACAGGCTCCTGGACTCCGCGCGGTCGCTTCGCTCCGGGACTTTCGACCCGCCGCGGCCGCCGTAGGCGAGGGGCAAGATGGCCGCCTCCGCGCTCGCCGGCGCAGTGAGAGCGGCCTCAGGTGAGCGGGGAGCTATCAGGTCTGCCCTTTTGTCCGCGTCCGGGAAGGGGGAACGGGCGAGGGCGAGGGGCTGGGGGGACGTCGGCTCCGGAGGTTGGCAGGGGAGAACGGGTCGCGTTTGAAGCCACGGGCCTGCTCTGCGCTCTCGGCTGCAGGGTGGCGGCCACCCGCGCCCGACCGGTCCACGCGCGGGCCGTCGGGTCCGCGCTCCCCGACTTCTCCTTTCCCGGAAAACAGGCCGGAGGGACGGGTGGGGGCGCGGGGCCAGAAAGGGGGCCAGAGCGTCCGCCTCACTTTCCGACCGGGAGGCTGGGGCCCGCCGCTCGCGGCCTTCGACCTTGGGGCGCGGAGCTGAGGCTCCGCCGCTGCGAACCGGGTTCGGGCCGCCTTCTCGGGCTCAACGAGGTCCCGCGGGCGGGCGGCTTGCGGGGCGCCGGGGCTTCTGCGCGGGACGGCGGCTTGTTTAGCCGCAACCCCAGCTCCAGGGTCGGAATGCGGGACTCGGGGCCCAGAGGCGGCGGGAGTGGGCGCTGGAAGGTCGCGGAAGGTTAAGTCATCCGGATGCCACGGGGTGATCGGTCGGTTCCTTTAACCCAAAACAGATGAGCTTTGCATGGATTCTGTGGGAAAAAGCTAGAAAGCAAGACCAAGAAGAAAAAACGCAGCGTTCTAAAACTTCCTGTTAGAAAAGACCTTTTTTCCAGGTGGAGTGTTTCGTGTGTGTGCGCGCGGAATGTAACACGTCCAAGGAAAATTTTCTGTAAACATGCAGATCGGTTAAACAATTCCAAAGCAAACACCCATGCAACTAACACCTCAGTCGAGACAGCATTACCGGAAGGCCTTTCACCCCGGTCGTAATCCTCTCCTGCCAAATGGAAATACTCTTCTTATTTTTATTTATTTATTTATTTATTTTTGAGTTGGAGTCTCACTCTGTCGCCCAGACTGGAGTGCAGTGGCCGCTCCCAGTCACTGCAGTCTCACCTGCTGGGCTCCAGTAAATCCTTCTGCCTCAGCCTTCCGAGTAGCCGGAATTACAGGCATGTGCTACCACGCCTGGCAGATTTTTTGATTTATTGTAGAGATGAGGTCTCGCTGCCCAGGCGGGTCTCGAACCCGCGGGCTCAGGCAATCCACTCACCTCAGCCTCCCAAAGGCGCGGGATTACAGGCTGAGCCACCAAGCCCGGCTCACTCTTCTTATTTTTATAATTACTGTATTAGGTTGCCTTTTTTTCTATTGTGGTTTCACCACCAATATGCCAATTTGTGAGTCTCTCAATAACCTATCATTCGTCTTGCCTGGTTTTGAACTTGACATGAATTGAATCATGCCGTATGTACTCTTTTTCCTTTTGTTTTCTTTTCTTTTCTTTGATTCGGAATCTCACTGTCGACTAGGCTGGAGGGCAGTGCATGCTCATAGCCACCACAGCCTCAGCCTGCTGGGCTCTGGCCATCCTTCTGCCTTAACCTTCCAGGTAGCTGGAACTACAGGCACGTGCCACCATGCCCAGCTAATTTTTTGATTTATTATAGAGATGAGATCTCATCAAGTTGCCCAGGCTGGTCTTGAACCCATGGGCATAGGCAATCCTCTTGCCTCAGCCTCCCAGAGTGCTGGGATGATAGGCGTGAGCCACTGTGACTGCGCCTGGCCAGTTCTTGTATTTTTTAAATAGATGATTTTTTTTATAATTGTAGAGATGAGGTCTCGCCGAGTTGCCCAGGCTGGTCTCGAACCCATGGGCTCATGCTAATCCTCTCACCTCAGCCTCCCAAAGTGCTGGGATTACAGGCATGAGCCACTGTGCCCGGCTCTAGCCTGGGCAACTTGGCAAGACCTCATCTTCACAAAATATCAAAAAAAGTAGCCAGGCATGGCGGCAGGTGCCTGTGGTTCCAGCTACTTGGAAGGCTGAGGTGGAAGGATCACCTGAGCCCAGCAGGTTGAGGCTGCAGTGGCAATGAGCAACAGAGTGAGACTCTGACTCAAGAAAAAGAAAAACAACTGACTCTGCCTGGCAATTTTTCTTTTTTGAGTTAGGATCTCACTTTGTCACACAGGCTAGAGTGCAGTGGCACAATCCAGATTCACTGTATATGCAGCCTTTTGGTGATCCTTCTGCTTCAGCCTCCCAGGTAGCTGGGATTACAGGCATGTGCCACCATTCCCGGCTAATTTTTTGATTTTTTGTAGAGATGAGGTCTTATTATGTTGCCTAGGCTGCCCTTGAACTCCTGAACTCAAGCAGTCCTCCCACCTCGGCCTTCCAAAGTGGTGGTATTAAAAGCTTGAGCCACCACACCTGGCCTCAATTTTTTTTTGCAGTGAATTTCCTATTAATCTAGACTAACATTTTTTGTACAAATGAGCCTGTAGTTTACCCATTTATATGTTCCAGACTATCTGCTCACTTCCTCCAGAGGTGGTTTCCAAGAATTTCCTTCCTTTTTTTTTTTCCAGTTGGGGGCTCACTGTCACCCAGACTGGAGTGCAGTGGCACGCTCCCGGCCACCTTGGCCTCAACCTGCTGGGCTCCGGCAATCCTTCCTCCTCAGCCTTCCAAGAAGCTGGAACTGCAGGCGTGCGCTACCACGCCCAGCTAATTTTTGATTTATTGTAGAGACTTATTGTAGAGACGAGGTCTTGCCAAGTTGCCCGGGCGGGTCTCAAACCCACAGGTTCAGGCAATCCACTCATCTCGGCCTCCCAAAGTGCTGGGATTACAGACTGAGCCATCAAGCCCAGCCTCCAAGAATTTCTGAGATTTTTTTTTTTAACTGAGGATCTCATGACCTGTGAAAATTGGGACAAATTTCTTGTCCTCCTCTTCATTTCACTTAATCTTTCAAAGATTACTTCCTGTAATCTACATCTGTAGATCTTCTCAGTTCTTCGAGATTTAACTTACTTATACCCAGAAGCTTGAATTCCTGCATTGTATATTTGAATTTGATTTTCAGGAGCCCTTTGAAACTGGCTCTCAACAGTTTCATGAGCCAGGCGCTGTGGCTCATGCCTATAATCCCAGCACTTTGTGATGCTGAGGCGAGAGGATTACCTGAACTCAGGGGTTCGAGACTGCCCTGAGCAACATGGCAAGACCTTGTTTCTACAATAAATCAAAAGAATTAGCTGGGCATTAGCTGTTGTGTTCCTGTGGTTCCAGCTACTTGGAAGGCTGAGGTGGCAGGATCACCTGAGCCCAGCAAGTCGTGGCTTCAGTGATCATGAGTGTGCTACTGCACTCCAGCCTGGGTGACAGAGTGAGACTCTGACTCAAAAAAAAAACCAAAACAAAACAGTTTCATGAATCTTGCATTTCAACTAACCTGCCAGTATTAATGCTACCCTTTTCAGTTTGAAAATTATCTTGCCAGGTGTGGTGACTCATACCTGTAATCCTAGCACTTTGAGAGGTGCCTGAACCCAGGGGTCTGAGACCAGCCTGGTCAAATTGGTAAAACCTTGTCTGTACAATAAGCAACAACAAAAAATTAGCCAGATGTGGTGGCACACACCTGTGGTTCCAGCTCCTTGGAAGGCTGAGGTGGAAGGATCACCTGAGCCCAGCAGGTTGAGGCTGCGGTGGCTGTGAGTGTGCCACTGCACTCTAGCCTGTGACAAAGTGAGACTCAGACTCACAAAAAATAAGTAAATAAATAAAAACTGTTATCTTTGGTGGAGAAAAGTAAAATAAGAGTTTTAAATGCTCTGTCTTCATTCTGCCACCTATTAACATATACAGGTTGAGCATCACTAATCCGAAATCCCAAAATGCTTCAAAGTCTGAAACTCTTTGTGTACTGTTGGTGATGATTCCACAGTGGGAAATTTCACACCTAACCTTCTGCGACAGGTAGCAATCAGAACTTTGTTTCATGTATCAAATTGTTTAAAATATTGTATGAATTGACCTTCAGGCTCTGTGTATACAGTGTATATGAAACATGAATTAATTTTGTGTTTAGACTTGATTTCCATTCTGAAGATTGTGTGTGTGCAAATATTCTGAAATTTAGAAAACATCCAAAATCCAAAACACTTCTAGTCCCAAACGTTTCAGGTAAGGGATACTCAACTTGTATGCCTAAGCTAAGTACTCCTTAGCTCTTCATTATCTGCTGTCAACATTCATTAAATGTTTTCTCTCTGCAACACACTGTTCCAGGCATTTCACATGCTTTATCTCACTTAATTTTCTTTAATTAACCTCATTAACATTTGAGAAACTGGGCCCAGAGAGGTTCAGTAACTTGTCCCTGTTGACACAGCCAGTAGTAGAGCTACAGTGTGAACCCCGACTGATTCAAACCCTGGCACTTCTGCACCACACCGTCCTCATATCATGTGAAATCAGTGCAGTGGGCAACAGAGCAGCAGTTCCAAGGCCTAGCTTAGCATCAGTCAGGTGCAACTTTTTTTTTTTTTGAGTTGGAGTCTCACTCTGTCACCCCAGGCTGGATGGTGCCACCCCAGCCACCACAACCTCGACCTGCCGGGCTCAGGCAATCCTTCTGCCTCTGCCTCCCAATAGTTGGAAATACAGGTATATGCCACCTTGCCTGGATCCTTTTTTTTTTAAAGATGTGGGGTGCAATTCAGGGTTGGGTACACAAGTGGTCATCGTGCAGGTGAAGTTTGGACTTCTTCTTGGTCCCTGCTTTGCCTGGTTTGAGATTGGGTACCCTTATTAATGTTACTTGCCCCCTCCCTTCCCTGGCAGAGTCCCACAACTGCCAATCCCTTTCTTGTAGTATTATGGTAAAGTTCAGGGTCCATTTATGAGTGAGCACGTGGTACTCAGATCTTTGTTTCTGTGATAGATCACTGAGTATGATCGACTCTTAAATCATCCAAGTTGCTGCGAAGTCCATAATTGTGTTGTCTTATGGCTGCATAGGATTCCATTGTGTGTATGTACCCCATTTCCTTTATCTAGTCCACTTTCGATGGGCAGCATAGTTGGTTCCATGTTTTTGCTATTGTGAATAGTGCTGCAGTAAACATGTATATGCAGGTATATTTTTTATAGAGTGATTTGAGTTCCTCCAGGTTTATTCCCAGAAGGGGGATTGCTGGGTCATATGGAAGGTCAATTTTTAGATCTTTTAGAAATTGCCACACTTGTGGCCAGGTGCAGTGGCTCAAGCCTGTAATCCCAGCACTTTGGGAGGCCGAGGCGATAGGATGAGAAGATTGCCTGAGCCTAGGGGTTCGAGACCAGCCTGGACAACTTGGTGATGCCTCGTATCTACACTATATCAAAAAAAATTTAGCTGGGCATGGTAGCACGTACCTGTAGTCCCAGCTACTTGGAAGGCTGAAGCGGAAGGATCCCTGAGCCCAGCATGTTGACACTGGGGTAACCATTAGCATGCCACTGCACTCCAGCCTGGGCAACAGAGTGAGACTCTGATGCAAAAAAAAAAAAGAAAGAAAAAGAAAAAAAGAAATTGCCACACTGTTTTCCACAGAGGTTGTACTAGGTTACACTCTTACCAACAGTGGAGAAGCGTTCCCTTCCCTCTCCCCCCCACCCCCATCCTCTCCAGCATCTGTTGTTTTTTGAGTTCTTGATGATGGCCGTCCTGACTGGAGTTAGGTGGTATCTCAGTGTGGTTTTAATTTGCATTTCTTTGATGACTAGTGATGCTGAGCATTTTTTCATGTATATGTTGGCTGCTTGTATGTCTTCTTCTGAGAAGTGTCTATGCGTATCTTTTGCCCACTTTTAAAAATTATTATTATTATTATTATTATTATTATTATTTTTGAGTTGAAGTCTCACTCTGTCGCCCAGACTAGAGGGCAGTGGCCACTCCCGGCCATCGCAGCCTCGACCTGCTGGGCTCCTGCGATCCTTCTGCCTCAGCCTTTTAAGTAGCTGGAACACAGGCGTGCGCTACCACGCCCGGCTAATTTTTGATTTATTGTAGAGATGAGGTCTCGCCAAGTTGCCCAGGAGGGTCTCAAACCCGCGGGTTCAGGCAGTCCACTCACCTCAGCCTCCCAAAGGTGCGGGATTACAGGCTGAGCCACCAAGCCCCACTTTTTTTTAAATTTTTGAAGCAGGATTTATTGAGAGGACAGAAAAGCTCCCATAGTGAGAGGGGACCCGAGGGGGTTGCCCTTTTGCTCACTTTGTAATCGGGTTGTTTTTTTCCTTTTGGCACTATGAGTTCCTTGTAGATCCTGGATGTTAGGCCTTTGTCAGATTTACAGTTGGTAAATATTTCTCCCCATTCTGTGAACTGTCTCCCCACTCTCTTGATGAGCTTTTTTTTAAAAACCAACTTTATTGAAGTAGAATTTACATGCCATAGAATTACCTGTCTTATGTGTACAATTTGATGATTTTTAAAAGGAAATTTAGCAAGTTGTACAACCATCACACATTTCAGTTTTGGGACATTTCCATCATTCTGTGGAACCTTTTTTTTAAATTTGGAGTCTCACTCTGTCTCTCCGGCTGGAGGGTAGTGGCACACTCATGGCCACTGCAACCTCCACTTGCTGGGCTCAGGCGATCCTTCCGCCTTAGCCTTCCAACTAGCTGGAACTATAGGCGTGAGCCACCATGCCCAGCCAGAACTTTTTAAAATGAGCAATTTTGAGTCTCTCACTAAACTCAGTCAGAACTTACTTGTGGAGCCAGAACTCCCTGAGGGATTCTAATTTGCAGCCATGAACTACTATTAGTCTGGCCGTAGTGGGAAGAATTGACAAGAGAAGACAGCATCCAACCCCAGGCCCTCTGAAACCTGCCTTTGACCTGCCCCATCTCAGTTCCCATGCCCTCTTCCCAGTCGTCTCCAGTACAGTCACACAAGTCTCAGCCTCTGTGGGAGGTCTGGTCCCCCTTCTGTACGTGTGCAGCTAACCTTGAACAACATAGTTGTTCAAGGGGTTGGGCTGCCGACCCCAAATCAGTTGAAAATTCTAGTGTAACTTTTGACTCCCGCAAACGTAACTACTGACAGCCTACTGTTGACCAGAAGAAGCTTTACCAATAACATAGTCGATTAACACATACTTTATGTTATATGTATTATATACTATATTCTTACAATAAACCCAGAGAAAAGACAATCATAAGGAAGAGAAATATATTTATTATCTCTAAGTCGAAGTAGGTCACCGTAAAGGTCTTCATCCTTGTTGTCTTTTTTTTTTTTTTTTTTTGAGTTGGCATCTCACTGTTGCCCAGGCAGGAGTGCAGTGGCGATCCTTCCACCTCAGTCTGGAACTACAGGTAGCTGGAACTACAGGTGCATGCTACCACGCCCGGGTTATTTTTTTATTTATTGCAGAGACAGGGTCTCGCCAAGTTGTCCAGGCTGGGCTCGAACCCCTGAGCTCAGGCAGTCCTCTCGCCTCAGCCTCCCAAAGTGCTGGGATTCCAGGCTCTAGCCACTGTGCCCGGCTGATCCTTGTCTTTGCAGTGAATGGGCTGAGGAGGAAGAGGAGTGACTGGTCTTGCTGTCTCCAGGTGACAGAAGCAGAAGAGGTGGAGGCAGGCACACTCGGTGTAACTTTTATTGGAGAAAATCCACATTTCAGTGGATCTGTGCAGGTCAAACTGTGCTGCTGAAGGGCTAACTTTATTTGTTCCGCCCCCAGGCCTTTGCCTGTGTTGCTCATCCTACCCGAAATGTGTTCTTCTTCCTCTAAGGGCCTATTCACTTTCTAGAAGAGAATACAAGCACCTTTTCTGTTTTCTTCATGGATCCTTTTCTCAACACTTGTCTTTCCAAGAAGGGTCTAGGTTTTCACATCCCAGACCTGCCATTGCGCTGTGTGTAGGAGTTCTGTCTCACTGGAGTGTGGGAATCTGGGAGGTGGGAATTAATGATACTCATCTCATTCCCTAGTACTGGGAGAGAGCTAGGACACATCAGACTGGGTTGTGATGTGTTACACAACCCTAAATCTGCTAAAAATCATTGAATTGTACACATAAAATGGGTGATTCTGTGGTAGGCGAGTTGTACTTCAGTCAAGATGGTAAAAGCTTCACAGGTGAGTCTGATGCTTCCGGCACATTAATGATGTATAACATTGCATTGCTTTGATACGTAACTTAATTTTTAATGTTTGGATGCATATTTCGGAGTATCATTTTGAGTATATATACTCTTCTATCTTTACAGGTGTCTTACGGCCCCTGAATATTTTGGCATCTTCAGCCTATCGAAACTGTGCCAAGAATGCCTCTCTTATTTCTGCATTATCCACAGGACACTTTAGTCATATTCAGACACCAGTTGTTTCCTCTGCTCCAAGACTCATTACATCTGTCAGAAACCTGACATATGGTCATACTGCAACGATCTTTAATAGGTATATTCCAGTAAACATGATGCTTAGACAGAATTTCTAAAATATTCATACATGCAAAGATATCCTAGAAGTAGATGATATTCTCTGCCCACCAGCAGTTTATCATGCACACTTCTACCCAACTGAGCGGGAGACGATGACTGACATCCACTCACTTACATGCTAACAGCAGGAGCTACCAAGCAGAGCACGTTTCTTATTTCGTATATGTGATTTCCTGGATGGAAGCTGTCAGCCAAAGAAGAGGGTGAACAGAATGCTCAGCTTAAAAGGCGGCGCTGTGTGGTGTTCAGTCAGCAAGTAATCAGTTAACGCACTCCTGGGTGCCAGGCACTGTACTTGGCAAAAAGGACACAAAGATAAGTCCTCAAGGAGTTTATAATCTGGGGACAGGTGACTGAAATAGAATAGGATACAGTCTTCCTAGGGATTGAGGGAATGGATCTAAGAAGGCTTGCAGTGGGTGCAGTGGCTCACACCCATAATCCCAGCACTTTGGGAGGCTGAGGCGAGAGCATTGCCTGAGCCCAGGGGTTTGAGACAAGCCTGGGCAACTTGGCGAGACCTTGTCTCTACAGTAAATCAAAAAATTAGCCAGGTGTGGTAGCACGTGCCTGTAGTTCCAAGTGCTTGGAAGGCTGAAGCAGAAGGATCGTCTAAGCCCAGAGGTCGAGGCCGCAGTGGCCATGATCGTGCCACTGCACTCCAGCCTGGGTGACAGAATGAGACTTTGACTCCAAAAAAAAGGCTTGCAGGTTGTGTGTCGCCATGCTTACTTATGCTTAGCATCATGGAACATTTGAAGCAGCATTGTATTTCAGAGTGCCATGTCAGTGGAGGAGCTCTGCTCATTTCCAAGTACTGATATGGGTTTTAGCTTTTATTCAGCCTGATTACTGAGTTCAGTGTTTTAAAATATGTTTTAGGGTGGCCCCCTTGCTCCCAAATGTCCTGAAGCTGCCCATCAGAACGGTAACATACTTCAGTTCACGGAAAGGCAAGAGAAAGACTGTGAAAGCTGTCATCTACAGGTTTCTTCGACTTCATTCTGGCCTTTGGCTAAGGAGAAAGGTGAGTCTTTAAACTGTTACTTAACTGAAAAAGTAGTGAGAACAGGAGATTAACCTGAAGCAGAATTCACTTAGCCTGTTCATTGAAATCTCTCCTCCCTCACCAATCTTACCAGTAGCTGGTGCAGTGCTGTGCCAAAGTACCAGAGTTGATGTGAAGACAACATGTACGCATTAATGAAACAAAATGCTATTCACTATGGCAGAAGTCTTCACTGTAGGGCAAGGTCATTTTAAAAAAAATTATTTCAATAGGTCTTAGTGGTCCAGAGAGTTTTTGTTATGTGGATGCATTGTATAGCAGCAAAGAGGTCTGGCCTTTAAGTGCACCCCCCCATCCCACCTGTATACATTGTACCCGATATCACCTCAGGTCTTCTAGCATGTCTGGCTTCTCTGGTGAGTTCCAGAAGCCTTTGAAACCCTGGAAGTTTATAACCAATCTGGAGGCTCAGTTTAAGCCTAGAGTGTCACAGCAGCACGGTAGACTTCGGCAGCCTCAGTCGCATGGCTCCGATTTGGGGACTGAAGAGCATTTCTTTCATTATTTTTAACTTTAAAGATGTGGGGTACAATTCAGGATTAGGTATACAAATGTTCATTATGCGAGTACCCTTGTTGATGAGGTGTCAGCCCCCCGCCCCCGTGGCAGTTTCCACTCCTGCCAGTCTTTTCCTGAAGAGCATTTCAGCCTGCCTTGTTTTGGATTCTTAGATGGCTTAATCTTCATGGCAGAATATTCACCCCACATACACTTTTTAAACAATTTACAAGCTCTTCTCTCTGTTGGTATGCATGATCAGGAACCTTCTAAGACTACTCTGACAAGGTACCACAGCCTCTGAGCTGCCTGAAAAATTGTTATTTCTCTTTCTTCTCCCACAGGATGTCCTGAGCTTTTTCATTCCCGTTCTTTTTCAAGGAAAGAGAGTACCTGATAATTAGAAAGCAGCTTAAGACCAGTTTTACAAAACTATCTTTGAAGTTTTGTTTTGTTTTGAGAAAAGGTCTTACTCAATCGCCCAGGCTGGAGTGTAGTGGCATAATCATGGCTCACCACAGTCTTGATCTCCTGGACTCAGGCAATCCTTCTGCCTTAGCTTTCTGTGTAGCTGGGGCTACAGGTGTGCGCCACCAGGCCCGGCTGACTTTTTTATTTTTTATAGAGACAGGATCTCACTATGTTTCCAGGCTGGTCTCAAACTCCTGGGCTCAAGCAATCCTCCTGCCTTGGCCTCTCAAAGTGGTGAGATGTAGGTGTGAGCCACCAAGCCTAGTCATCTTAGAGTTTTAATAACTGTTCAAATCCTAATTCTCTTTTACTACTTGGAAGTTAACTAATAATTCTTCAAAGATCAAATTTGGTTCCTTCTAAAAATAAAATAGGTGGTAGAACTTTCTCATTGTTTGAGAGGTTGAGAGATTGTCTATTAATTAATTCATTAATTTTTTTTTAGTTGGAGTGCAGTGGCACAATCATGGCTCACCACAGCCTTGAACTCCTGGGCTCAAGCAACCTTCCCTCCTCAGCTTCCCAAGTAGTGGACAGTACAGTTGCACATCACCATACCCGGCTAGAGATCTTGCTATGTTCAGCCCAGGCTGGTCTCAAACTCCTGGGCTCAACCAGTCCTCCTACCTCAGCCTCCCAAAGTTCTGGGATTACAGGCGTGAGCCACCATTCCTGGCCACAAAGTGCTTTCTTAGGGGAGATAACCAACAACAAAAACAATAATGGCAGCTAGTACATATAATCCTAAGCATTTTCACCTGGCTTACTTCATTTGAAGCCTCACAACAATCCTACAAGTAGACATCATTCCCTGTTTGGATAAGGAATCTGGGGTGCAGAGAGTACAAACAGCTTGCCCAAGTCACACAGCAAGGAAGTGACTATACCCTTGGAACGTGCACGAATGTATAAAAACTGAAAGTATTTTATATGGCACAGTCTTATCCAGGTGTCCGTATTTTTTTTTTTTTAAGTTGGAATCTTAAAAAAAAAAGCCTTGGTCTGCTGGGCTCAGGTGATCCTTCTGCCTCAGCCTTCCAAGTAGCTGGAATTACAAACACGCACACCATGCCCAGCTAATTTACCCAGGCTAGACCCCGGGGCTCAGGCAATCCTCTTGCCTCTGCCTCCCAAAGTTCTGGGATTATAGACATGAGCCATCACACCTGGCGCTTCTAATACTTACTGGTTTTTTTTTTTTTTTGAGTTGGAGTTTCATTCCGTCGCTCATGCTGGAGTGTGGCACACTTACCGCCACCCCAGTGTCAACCTGCTGGGCTCCCGTGATCCTTACGCCTCAGCCTTCCAAGTAGCCAGAACTACAAGTGCGTGCTACCATGCCCAACTATTTTTAAATTTTTTTATTGTAGAGACAAGATCTCACCAAGTTGCCTGGGCTGGTTTTGAATCTGTGGGCTCAGGCAATCCACTCGCCTTGGCCTCCCACATTGCTGGGATTACAGGCTAAGCCACCGAGCTTGACCTTTTTTTTTTTTTTTTTTTTTTTGAGTTGGAGTCTCACTCCAACACCCAGGCGGGAGTACAGTGGCACACTCACAGTCACCCCAGCGTCGACATATTGGGCTCCAGCTATCCTTCTGCCTCAGCCAAGTAGTCAGAACTACAGGCGTGCGCTACCACGTCCAGCTAATTTTTTAAAAACTTATTGTAGAGATGAGGTCTTGCCAAGTTGCCCCGGCTGGTCTCGAACCCATGGGCTCAAGCAGTCCACTCATCTCGGCCTTCCAAATTGCTGGGATTACAGGCTGAGCCACCAAGCCCGGCCTTATTTATGGTTTATTCCCTCCTTCCATTTCTTCCTTTTTCTTTTTGAGTCAGGGTCTTACTCTGTCACCTAGGCTGGAGTGCAGTAACACAATCTTGGCTTACCACAGCCTCAACTTCCTGGGCTCAGGTGATCCTTCTGCCTCAAACTTCTAAGTAGCTGAGACAGACTACAGGTACATGCCACCACGCCTGGCTAATTTTTTAATTTTTTTGTACAGATGAGGTATCACTATGTTGCCTAGGCTGGTCTCAAACTCATGGGCTCCAGCAGTCCTCCTGTCTAAGCCTTCCAAAGTACTGGAACTACAGGCTTGAGCCACTGCACCTGGCTAACATCCCTCCATTTCTGAATCCAGAGATTGTCTAAAAAGTCTTAAGCATTTTCATAGTGGTTCCATTACACCAAGTAATCTTTTTTTTTTTTTTTTTTTTTAGTTGGAATCTCACTCTGTCACCCAGGCTGGAGTGCAGTGGCACGTTCATGGCCACCGCAGCCTCAACCTGCTGGGCTCAAGGGATCCTTCTGCCTCAGTCTTCCAAGTAGCTGGAACTATAGGCACATGCCACTATGCCCAGCTAATATTTTACTATAGAGACAATGTCTCACCAAGTTATCCAAGCTGGTCTCAAACCTCTGCCTCCCAAAGTGCTGGGATTACAGGCTTGAGCCACCGCGCCCGGCCACAGAGTAATCTTTAAAGGATACTGGTGGTGATGGGCAGGACAGCAAGTTAGGTGTGTGTACATCAGAGACCCACAGGAACCCAGTTTGGCCTATAAACTAGAAACATTAATGTAGGAATTTGGGTTTGGTCTTTAAATTTATAATTGTAAGCAGTTTAAATTGTTCAGTTTAAGTTAAATTGTAGAAATAATGTTGTTTCTAGCATTTTATTTTATTTTTGAGTTGGAGTCTCACGCTGTCACCCAGGCTGGAGGGCAGTGGCACACTCCCAGCCACCGCAGTCTCAACCTGCTGGGCTCCGGCGATCCTTCTGCTTCAGCCACACAGATTTGTTGAGTTTTATTTTCAGTGATTTTAATTCAAATAATCCTTTTTCTAAAATATTGGCCAGGCACAGTGGCTCATGCTTATTATTACAGCACTTTGGAAGGCAGGAGGATTGCTTGAGCCCAGGTTCAAGACCAGCCTGGGCAGCATAGCAAGACCTCATTTCAAAAAAAAAAAAAAAATTACTGAGAGTGGTGGCATATGCCTGTATTCCTAGTTATTTGGACGGTTGAGACTGAGACAGAGGGATCACCTGAGCCCAGGAGGTTGAGGCTGCAGTGAGCCATGATTGTGCCACTGCACTCCAGTCTAGGTGACAGAGACCCCAACTCAGAAACAAACAAAAAAAATTAACTTATTAATACTACTTTTTCAAACTACATATGCGTTCTCTACCCACACCCCACTGAGAATTATATCTTTCCAAAAAACATACCAGCCCCTATGAAATTCTGGTTTTTGTCCCTGCTGGGCCTATATACCATGAGATGTGACGATACCTGTTGTTTTCGACATGATACAAGTTTTTTTTTTTTCCTTGTACTCTCTTACAGGCTGGTTATAAGAAAAAATTATGGAAAAAGACAAATGCAAGGAAAAAACGCTTGAGGGAATTTGTGTTCTGCAATAAAACCCAGAGTAAGCTCTTAGATAAAATGACGACATCTTTCTGGAAGAGGCGAAACTGGTATGCTGATGATCCTTATCTCAAGTATCACGATCGAACCAACCTGAAAGTATAGATCAGAAGTTTTATGGCTTCCCAGTTACTGAATATGTATCTTTGCCTGCAGGATGACTTTGTAAAAATAAATAAGAATAAAACTTGATGTAAATTGTTCCACTAATATGTAAACTTACAATGCCAACATTAAACTGATAGAAGCTTTAAAACTTAATGAATCAGACTTTCCCAGATTCAGTCAGGGAAATAAAATTGCGTGTTTTTTCTTTTGAGTCGGGGTCTCACTCTGTCGCTCAGGCAGGAGCGCAGTGGCATGCTCATGGCCACTGCTGCCTCAACCTGCTGGGCTTATCCTTCTGCCTCAGCCTTCCAAGTAGCTGGAATGACAGGCATGCATCACCACACCCAACTAATTTTTTATTTATTGTAGAGATGAGGTCTCGCCAAATTGTCCAGGCTGATCTCGAGCCCGTGGACCCAGGCAGTCCTCTTACCTTGGCCTCCCAAGGTAAGAGCCACCGGGCCTGCTGCATGTTATTTTTAACAACTGAGCGTGGCTTGTAGGCTCCATTCTCTGCTCACTAAATTCTCTAATTCACAGCTTAACCTACTTACAGTTTCTGTTCTCTCATAACGACTTACCTGGTTACTCCAAGTAGGCTTATTTAGTTGCAAGGAATCTCAACTGAGGACAAACACAAACAGTTGCTGAAGCTGTAAGTTAGCTTAAGCAGTGTGACATTATTTTAAGAGTATGTGCCCGGGCACTCAGAAAGCGCCTCCCCAGCCCTGTCTCCTACTCAGAAATCAACTCTAAGCCCAAGAAAGAGCAGAAATTGGATGCAGAGTCTCAGCAGGAGAAGGCGGCCCTTTAGGCTTGGCTCTGCCATGCATGTGACTCGTTCTTTGTACACTGTCTACTCTGTTCTCTCTATTCACCAGCTACTCTGATTCACAGCTTTTGCTTACTTACAGTTTCTGTCCCCTTGTAATGACTTTGGCTTACACCTTTCTTTTTTTTTTTTTTTTTTTTGAGTTGGAGTCTCTCACTTTGTCGCCCAGACTGGAGTGCAGTGGCTCACTCATGGCCACCCCAGCCATTGACCTGCTGGGCTCAGGCGATCCTTCCACCTCAGCCTTCCGAGTAGCTGGAACTACAGGCACATACCACCATGCCCAGCTTTTTTTGATTTATTGTAGAGACTAGGTCTCGCCAAGTTGCCCGGGCTGGTCTCAAACCCATGGGCTCAGGCAGTCCTCTCACCTCAGCCTCCCAAAGTGCTAGGATTATAGGCCTGAGCCACCACACCCGGCCTGACATTCTTTTCTACATCATGATCATCAGCTACTTATCTACTCTGATTGCCGGGAGACTCCAACTGGGCCACCTCACCTTTTAAACCAGGCCTCACTGGTATGTGTCACTGTCCAGTGAAGGGATTGGCTATTCTTAGGTCAGGAGCCCACCCTGGTCCACTTTGTGCTAACAGGTTCACGTGGGGCAAAAAGGAGTTACGTGAGCAGTGTCACTTAGCGGATAATATCTAGTGTGCTAGGTTCACTGTGTTCATAACAGTTCCCATTTAGTTTACTGGGAAAAGATTTTCTCCATAGATGCGTAAATGAAATAAATAGCCTTTCAGCACACCCGTTCATGGAACAGAAGAGGCTATCCAAGTGAAGACAAAGACATTTCCCCAAGTTCTGAAAGAGACATATTTCTTTTATTTGTTTTTTTGTTTGTTTGTTTTTTTGAGTTGGAGTCTCACTCTGGCACCCAGACTGGAGTGCAGTGGCCGCTCCCGGCCACCACAGCCTTGACCCGCTGGGCTCCGGCGATCCTTCCGCCTCAGCCTTCCAAGTAGCTGGAACTACAGGTGCACGCTACCACACCTGGCTAGTTTTTATGATTTATTGTAGAGATGAGTTCTCGCCAAGTTGCCCAGGTGGGTCTCGAACCTGGGGGCTCAGGCAGTCCACTCACCTCAGCCTCCCAAAGCGCAGGATTACAGCTGAGCCACTGAGCCTGGCAGAGACATATTTCTTAAACGTCAGTTTATCCACTTGAGATTTTGTTTTCATTTGTAAGGATAAGCTTTTCCCAGAATTTTCCAAAAATGCATTTTGGAAACGAAGGGGAAGAAAATCATCTCAATCATTCTAGAAACGATGCAAGAGTTAAGCACTGTTTACTGGAAGAGGGGCGGATACGAGGCATTGACTGAGTGGGTGTAGTCTGGGGGCCGTGGTTCTTCGCTCTCCCACGAGAGTCATCTGGGAAACATCTTCCCTTTCTTTTTTGAGTTGGATTCTCATTCTGTCACCTAGGCTGGAGTGCAATAGCACGCTCATGGCCACCACAGCCTTGACCTGCTGGGCTCAGGCAATCCTTCCACCTCAGTCTTCCAAGTAGCTGGAACCACAGGTGCGTGCCACCACACATGGCTAATTTTTTTTTTTTTAATTGTAGAGATGAGGTCTCCCCAGGTTGCCCAGGTTGGGGAAAGCATTTTCATACAGAGCACTCTGCCTAGTGAAAACCATTATTACGGTTTCAAACCCTTTAATACAATAGTTGATGATGGTAAGATGAAGTTCCTATAATGCTAGTAGAATAAGGTAAAAGAACCAATTGAAGTTCAATGGCAGGTCAGGTCACAATTATCTGAGGGGTTCTTTGAAACTAGTGTGTTTCCTTCATTATAAGGAAAAGAGGAAACAATCAATTGTTTTAAATCCAGAAGGCCAAGATGTGTCTATTTGCAGGACCAGTAAATAAAGAGCAGGTATTTGATCTGAGATGAGGTAAGAGCCCCAAACACAGATTGACATTCTGTTTGAATAGATTTTCATTTCTTTGCGCTTCGGCGGTAGCAAGAGCCCACCATTCCCAAGCCTTCCACATCTTTTCTCGCCTGCCTGGCTCCTGCCCTCCAACTCGTCTCTGGTAGTGGGATGGAACGGGCGCCTGTAAGTTGGGGAGGAGGACACTTTCCACAGCCTCCATGACTTCCTTGATGCAAATGTGGATGACAGGGGGGTCTCTGTGACAGGGGCCTCAGAGCACCTTGGTTTCTCCTGTAGGCCAGGGACAGGGTAGAGACAAGGACTGACAGCCTAGGGCCTCAGCATCCAGACAGGGCTGGAGTTGGGAGGGCGGACAGGCACGTGATTTCGGGGAAAGCGAATTTCATACATACAACTTTTGTTTTGTGGGAATAGGAGGGCTTTTGGTCAATACTGATGGACAATAAAATATCTTTCATTAAAGAGTCTACCTAAATGACATTCAGGTACATATCCAATGACAACGTTTACGTGTAGCTTATTTGTTCAAGAATATATTTGACTTATCTACAAAACTGGGCACATACCTATAAAACTGTTCATCCTCATGTCAATCTTGTAAAAAGTTGTTTATCCCTGGTTTAGATTTGAGGAAACTGAAGCTTAGAGAGAGTTAAATAAGTTACCTGGAAGGGCAGCTACTAAGCCCCAGAATGCCAATCTAACTTCTCAATCTAAACCTGTGTGTTTCCCTCAGTCTTCTAATATGAAAATTCATATCTGAACCAATAAGTGACTCACCTAGCACTATATATATACTAAATACTTCTTCAAAACAGTACGCCAGTTCAGCTCTTAATTTTTATAACTTTGCCTTCCTGTTCTTTGTCAACTCTTAACTTGGTTCGTCTCAGTTCTGTTGACACTGGACCTGGCTCAGTACATGAGTAAATGAATGGATTTCCAGCCTTTCTTTCCATCTCGTCCTGCTCCCATTCCTCTGAATCTGCTTCTTTTCCTGCTACTGCCTTATTTTGCACTCCTTGTGTCAAACATGCAGAATATAGGACTGTGAAAGCCAAGGAAACGGACCTGTGTCTGAGCTTCCCAGTCTTTGTGACCACCCGGCGAAGCTTGAGTGAACCTGTTCAGATGTTCAAGGCGAGGGCTGCAACGAGCTCAAGGGCTTCCCTTCCACCCGCAGTGGGCCTGCACATGCACCACCCTGTTCTGATTTGCACAGGAACTCCCCCACTTGTAGATGAAGTCGTGCTCCGAGGATTCAAATGACAGGCCAGAGGTCTGCTTGCAGAATTAAAACTGCCCACCAATGGCCCACTCTATTTTCACAGCTACCTGGTTTCCAGTGATGATGTTTAAAAACAAACAGTGATACTTTCAGGTTAAAGTGTGATGATCTGATTTTCCAAACACGTTTCATTTTTTTCCTCCCAACAATCGCACGCAGCAGCAGGCATGGGGCCCGTCAGCAGGCCAGTTAGTGGCTGAGCACTCAGCCTCCTGTCTTTGCTACCTTCCATATTTTTAAAAAAGCATTTTCTCTTTCGCTATAAGCCCAACTTTACAGTTTTTTTTTTAAAAGAAAAATGTTAAGACTTTATTCAAGATGTATATCAGGCATTATAACAAATCAGCAGAACTTCAACCTTTGGAATACTGTAATTTTACATCCCTCTGATGCACAGTCCAGTGTACTGTTTTACTACAGATCGTTCTATAGGGACTACGGAAATCACCCAGAGGAAATGTGCACAGTTACAATCCAGAATGTCAGCTCTTGGAGTGTGTGCTGCTTTGCCATTTCCAACACCGTGCCAGGTGAAGACCAGGAAGGCTCCATAATGGTCGTGGTTGACAAGCGTTCTTATCACAAACACGGGACAGTTTATCACAAAGAACACACATCTCAAAGGCCAGTGGAGTGAGCAAGCTTCACACAAAGCCAGGGGGGTGAGGACTCAACTCGCCAGTGTATAAGCACAAGACCACGTCTCATCTCCTCAGAAACAGAACAGGTGCTTGGTGGCAATGAACTAAAAGTTATGACATGAGAATTACAGTCTTTTGAGCTAGTATTTTGTAAACAGCCCGTGTCTATAAGTCAGCAAATGAGAAACATTCAGTTGAATCCTCTAGACAGCACACCACACCACTACGTGTACACTTACAGGCATTCACATTTTATGTCAGTCCATACACAAATATACAGCTTGTCAGAGAAGTAAACACATTTCACCAGAGATATGACAGCTGCTCTTGGTTGTACAGTGAGCGTCCTTAAGAGAGAAACCAACTCCCTGATCAACACTTGAAGGAATAATAGTTACATGTGCATTAAGACAGCAGTTTGGATACCTTTATATTTTAAATTTGAATGAGAAGCAATACAGCACGTCTGAGAGTAGAGTGCTTCAAACTTTTTTTGGCATAGTTGAGTGCAAACTTGATAGCCTATACTTGTTACAACTTTCCATTGCAAAATGGTGAAAATATAGTTTGTTCACAATAGGATTTTAAACTCTGCTGCTAAAGGCATTTCTTGTTTTGGCAAAAACCGAAAAGTTGCTAAGAAGCTGCGTAAGCTTTCTTGCACTTGTTTCTGATCATTCTGGGTGCTTCCACCTAACAGGTAAATGCATTTTAAAGAGTACACAGTATTGTTCCTCTGTCTGGAACTATTTAGTGAACTTGAAGACAAGAGTTTCTCTCTTCCCTAGCAGGTGCAGGTGGGGGTGAGGCACAGACAATGAGTAGACAGCCTGGATTTGCCCTCTGAGCCACAGACTTGCTTTTTTATTTTCCTGTATCCTTTTGTAAATTACAAAACCACTGGGAAGAAGGGATTTCGACACGTATACCTGGCAACAATCAACTTCAAATACGACCCTTTCTGAGGTGGCCAAGATCCCGCTAATGTGTCCTCAGCAAAGGCCACTGGTGTGTGTGGTGTGTGTGTGTGTGTGTGTGTGTGTATATGTGTGTGTGTGTGTATGTCCACTGGTGTGTGTGGTGTGTGTGTGTGTGTGTGTGTGTGTGTGTATGTCCATTCAGTAATGGAACAGTTTTTAATCGGGCTTGTTTATAGTTGGTTGACGGTAAATTCTATGTGGTATCTAACACTAGTTCTCTAGTCTCCTGGGCCTACCTACAAACAAACACAATCCGAATATTATGAGTAACTGGGTTGTGACCACTGCATGCATTACACCGAAAGAAAACATCAACTCTAAGCACAAATACACTATTCTTATGTTTTAACTCAGCTCTCAGAGGGGAGAGGAGTCACCTCAGACCACTGTACCTTTAAACCAGATCCTTTTTTTTTTTTTGAATCGAAGTCTCACTCTGACCCAGGCTGGAGTGCAGTGACTCTCTCACGGCTACTGCAGCATCGACCTGCTGGGCTCAGGCGATCTTCTGCCTCAGCCTTCCAAGCAGCTGGAGCTACAGGCATGTGCCACCACGCCCGGCTAATTTTTTTAATTTGTTTATTGTAGAGATGAGGTCTCGCCAAGTTGCCCAGGCTGGGCTCAGGCAATTCTCTCCCCTCCACCTCCCAAAGTGCTGGGATTACAGGCATGAGCCACCACACCCGGCCAGATACTTTTCAAGTGCAATTCTCAGTCTAAGTAGTGAATCCCCTCAGATAGTGCTTTATTCGCCACTAAGCAGTTCGGGCTTGAGGAAGACATCCGATAAGACCCAGTGCCTGTGAGCAGGAATCCACTCATGTTCACATTCTGCACAGGCCAGGAAGGGAGCAGGAGGTGTGAGCGAGTCTTGGAGTTGACAGCAAGTCTCATTCACAAAGGTCTCAACCTCGAAAACCATTCTAGAACCCATCGCTTTTATTGTTACACAGGTGTCTCAGATGCATTTTATAGCATATCTGAAACAGCATAGTTCTCAGGGTTTTTGTTTGTTTTTGCTCAGTGTTCTCTACAACAAGGTGCTCGGAGTGTGGGCTCCTCTACCTGGAGAAATTAGTTGCAGCACTGGTCACTATAAAGGAAAAAGAGTCACTCGCCAAGCACAGAATGATTCCTCCCAACAGCTCTGCAAGTCCCAACCTCAAGAAGTTTGGCCAAGGGCGAGCCATCTGCCTAAGGAGATGTTAAATCCCGCAGGATTCAGGAGTTCCAATCCTGAATCCAGGAAGGAGATAAGCTTCCTTTGGCTCTTCCCTTTCCCTACGATGTTCCACTAACTTCTCATAACACTTCTCTCAATTGTCTCTCTTCATTCCTAACTTCTCTGGTCTTTTGACCAAACAACTGTCTGAAGAATACGGACCATCTTCCTGCAGAGAAAAGGCTATTTCACGGGAGTTGTATTTGGAAGCTTTAAACACATCTGAGACATTCTCTAGAATCAAAATATTTTTCTGTATTTCTGTTTTTGTGGTTTTCTTACATATCCGAACCTCTGGCAGCCCTTGCAAATCCATTCTAGGTAGCCAAAAGCCATAAATATATACATCCTAGTTCAAAGTATTAGTACCAAGAACAAAAACGTTTTTAAAAATTGCTTCGTTTGCATTTACAGGACTAAAAACTAAGTATGCAACAGATAAATTACAAATGTACATCTCAGCAGCATAGGGGTGATTCTTGTATTCCTCAAAACACACTGCTGTCTACAACGACGATCCCATGGTGGAAAATACTAACCTCAGAAGACTTACAGGTCACCCCACCCTACTACCTTTCCCTTTAACCTCTCCCCAGCAAAATAAAGAAAAGAGAAAACAAACAAACACAAAAAAAATCCACAGGAGTGGAAGAGGGGAGAGAGAAAAGGCCATGTCTGTAGAGCTGCACACGCAGCACGCCCAGCCTGCCGATTTCCATGTTGTTAGTGAGTAGCTCTTTAAGGCAGAGGAGGAACATTCTGTGGATCCGGTGCTGTTTGGTTCATCTCACTCACGTGGTTTCAGTGGCCGAGGATGAGGTACTTTTCTTCCTGAAGCGAGAGCGAAGGGTTCTAGGCGGTGCCTGGCAGAGAAAGCAGAAAGAAAAGCATCCCTCAATGTGGCATGCGTGTGGAGTCTTTGGAGGGCAGCACCAGGAAGGATCGTGTGGACACGCCCAGCTCCTCTGGCCCAGTGCACCCATGTGGGAGGCAGCTGGCTGGGGCTGTACAACGGAGTCAAGCACCCAAGTTGCGCCCCACACACCCCTGTGAAGCTGGGCCCGTTGAAAAGGCAGACGGCACCCTTCCACATGTCCCAAGGCTGTGCAGAATGACACATCTTGCTTGTTTCTGCCTCAGAAATGAGCTGAACAAATGACTCAGCAGAGAGGAACGCCTCCTATCTCGTCCTTTTTGTTCCTGTAATTTCCTTTGGGAACTGGCCTGATGTCCTGGTGCGTGCTTCAGATCTCCATCACCAAGTTTCCAGTCCCCTTCCTGGATGTGAAACCCTCGAGCGCACAGCAAACCACACCCCAAAGGCAAACACCACCTTTAGGTCCAGGTTGGTATTCCTTACCCGAAACGCTTGGGATGAAACGTTTCGCATTTCAGACACTTTCAGATTTTGGAAGATTCGCATGTACATACCCACTGAGCATCCCTGATCTGAAAACCTGAAATCCAGGATGCTCCTGCGAGCATTTCCTTTGAGCATCGTGTCGGCACTCCGAAAGTTTGGGTTTTTCGGATTAGGATGCTCAAACTGTATGAGGGTTCCAGCCCATGCTCCCACACCTGGCTTTCAAGGGACCCCTCCTGTGGGCTATGAGATCACAGGAGTTACCATGACACTGAAGAAAAGGGAACGTTTTGTTTGTTTGTCATGGCACCCGAGGAGATTCAGACAACTGGCCCCAACTGGCCCTCAACCCTGCCTCTGTCACTTCCCTGTGTGTACAGACAATGATCTCTACAGTGTCCTTCCACACGCCTACTTCTTCTGACCCAAGGCCCTTCCCTCCTCCCTTATCTTGCATGTTTCTGGTCCTCCCAGGGACTCAGCTCAAAAAAAAGTCACCTCTGCAGAGATGTTCTGAGCCCTTCTCTTGCTTCGAACATGGCCCAAAACAGAGGACTCTGTGTTCCCTGGCCTCCCATCAGACTGGGAACTTCCCCATCACTGGCTGGGTGCTGGGCAGGCACAGGGAGGGAAAGAGCCAGAACAAAGCTCAGGCCCTCTCACCGGACCCCCACGTCCCAGCTATGCTACTAGGAAATGTTCACCAGCCTCCTCCACACATAGGTTGAAAAGGCAGCGTACAACTACCTTTTTAGTAAGCTGCCTCTCAGAGGAGACAGTAAAGTAGTGAAAAACAATCAAAGCAGCGCAAACCCTTGGCCCTGGGACATTTTAGGCTGGACTTCTCTTGACATCATGAGATTGCCCACACCGTTATGCCCAGACCAGATGCCTCCAGAGTGACCAAACTCAGAATAAACTTTTCCCAAACTCACCAACTACAAAATCGACCCCCCATGCATGCCTCACTTTGGAAAGGAGTCTGGCGAGCTCCCGCACACAGGGGCAGTCATAACTACTGTCCTGATGTGACTAGAAACACTTGACCACTGTGCTTGCGGTGGGGAGCATTTCAACGCACACCCTCATCTGAGTCTCACAAGGGTCTCTACTCTGTGGACAGGGCCCTCCCGGCTTGCCTCAGGTGTACTCTCTAGCCACGGTACTTGGCAGACGGGGAAGGGGAGAGACCTTAGGGGGCAGAGAGGATGACTCTGAGGTCCCCTGATTCTCCTGGCCCTGTGCCTGCACCCGTGATGGGTGACTCCCTACCTGTGTCACAGAGCAAGGCCCCCAAGGCTCCAGGCTGCTACCAAAACCCCATCCCCATCCTACAACCGACAATCCTATGTATGCCCAGTGTAGTGTCCAGGGCAACTTTAAAGGGCCGTGCCCCTTTGGCATTTTATGAACAGCCACTTGGTACCAGGCACTACGCTGTGTCTTGCAGACACAGTGGTGAGCAGGCCTTATTCATAAATACTGGTCAGATGACACATTCTGAAGTTTTTCTCCCCAAAAACACTAATTTAGGTTGCTTTTCGCTTGTACATCATCTTAGATTGGTAGCGGTTAATATTTGAAAATAGGGGGAGGGAGGGGCATACCTCATCAACAAGGATATCTGCATGATTAATGTTTATATACCTAACCCTGAATTGTACCCCACATCTTTATAATAATGTTAAAAAAATATTTGAAAATAACAACAAGCAACAACAAAGCCCTAGATGCCACCTCTCCTATTTGTAAATAAAATTGGTAGCGTCTTTACCCCCCACTGGGCAAGTAGCCAGATGCTTCAAGTAGTGGCTCACCCTGCCTGTCTGATGGCGGGACATTTTTCAACCCCAGGCACTCAGGAGGTGCTCGGTGCCCCAAGAGACGCTGCTCTCAGGAACCCCCAATCTCCCAGGCAGAGCCCTTGGGCAAACACATGCTCCAACCCACAGTCCCAGATACCATGTACCTCCAGGGGCAAATCCGTCCTTCGAGGCGCCTTATACTTGTACATGAAATCCAGCAGGTCTTCCTCCTCCTCGTCAGAAAACGCCAGCGGGTGTCGGACCTGGGGGCACTCCCACGCCTTCACACCACCCTCACTCACATCTCCCTCAACCACTTAATGTCCATTTACAATCTACACAGGAGACAAAGTGTGAGGGGGGTCAGTGTAGACAGGTGCAAGGAAGGGCGGGGTTAGGTTCACAGCACGACAAGCCAGGCCTGTTAGACAGCTAAGACTCCTGGGTCTGAGGAAGCACCGCCGTCTGGGGCCTCCCTGCAGGGGATCTGGGATGGTGACAGCGCAGGGATGAGACCCACCAGGCCCTGAGCACAGAAACCACCACAGGCTCAGAATGTCACGGAAAGCTCCCTAGGGTGGTGGGGGCACCACTTCCCGGGGAGAAGCTGCCGTCACTGAGACACATCAGACCCTGTCGCTTAGACCTGTGACTCTACACCAGAGAGAATCTTCGCAAGAGGACAACACCAGTGTTTTTTTGGGGGGGAGGCACATTTTCTTTTCTTTTTTTGAGTTGGGGTCTCACTCCGTCACCCAGGCTGGAGTGCAATGGCACGATGGTCATAGCTCACCACAGCTTTGACCTCTGGGCTCAGGTGATCCTCCCACCTCAGCCTCCTGAGTCACTGGGACTACAGTACAGGCACGCACCACCATGCCTGGCTAAGTTTTCTATTCTTTTTTTTTTTTTGGTAGAGACAAGGTCTCACTATGTTGTTCAGGCTGGTCTCGAACTCCTAGGCTCAAGCAGTCCTCCCGCCTCAGCTTCTCAAAGCACTGAGATTACAGGCACGAGCCCCCACGCCCAGCCGGAAGCAGTTTCTATATTATACATACAAGCAGTGCTGACGGTGAATTACACTTGTATATTCAGCGCCAAGCACGCTTCCGAAGACAGGATGTGAGATGCCAGGAAGTCTTAAGGGATAACCTTAAGCAAAGCTATGTAGGTTTGTTTTTCCATTTCAAAGGCCTCGTCCTTGAGAAGTAGAGGAATCTAATGGAAGAGGGGAATATAATAGTCGCCGCTGCCAAAAAGATGACAGGAAGATTCTTGTTTTAGCCTGCTTTGAATAAACTCATGGAAAAGCTCCAGAATTAATTCCTCTCACTGAATGCACAGTATTTTTAAAATGTGAAATGATAACACAGATCGCACGTCCCCTCGCTAGGTGGTTCTATCTTCATCCACACGGAAAACATCTTCTGCCTGTACCTGGCTTATCCGACATCCACACACACAGCCATCTGTGCTTCCTATGTTGTTTTTACCTAGAATCACGGGATGCAGAGCCAGGGGCCCAAGTCATCGGGTCCCACCGCCCTGGGGTCTGCAGACAGAAAGTGGAGGTCTTCCTGGGATACCCTGTCACTGCTCCAAAGGACACGTTCTGCCACCACATGTGCTTCCGACATCCCCAGAGGACTCCCTAGACTATGGCAGCCCCAGGAGTGAGTCTGACCACTGAACCTGACCTTGAGCAAGCAGCTTTACCATTACTGCTGCTGTGCTCCCCAGCCGCCAGCAGGAGGCAGCAAGAGTGCACAGCCGCCTTAATCAAGGCTCAAAGCTGAATTGTAGGCTGGGCGTGATCCGCTCATTCTCTCTCTCTTTTTTGAATTGGAGTCTCACTCTGTCGCCCAGGCTGGAGTGTAGTAGCACTCACGGCCACCGCAGCCTTGACCTGCTGGGCTCAGATGATTCTTCCGTCTCAGCCTTCCAAGTAGCTGGCTAATTTTTAATTTATTGTAGAGACGGGGTTTCGCCAAGTAGCCCAGGCTGCTCTCAAACTCCTGGGCTCAGGCAATCCTCTCACCTTGGCCTTCCAACATGCTAGTATTACAGGTGTGAGCCACCATGCCCGGCCTCTGTCTCTCTCAATCTCTCTATTCAACTATCTGCCCATCTCTCTCATCTATCTACCCATCTACCTGTCCATCCTTCTTTCCTTTCTATCATCTATCTATATATCATTTATCTATCATATTTCTATCATCTATCTGCCCAACTGTCCATCCTTTCTTCCTTTCTATCATCTATCATTTATCTATCATCTCTCTCTCTCATCTATCTACCCATCTATCTGCCCATCCATCTTATCTCTCTATCTATATATCTATCTATCTATCCACCCATCCATCCATCCATCCATCCTCTTCCCTCTGGCTCCCCTCTGCCAGCCTGTTTACTCTGGGTTGAGGTTGTTCTCTGTGCCCCTCCTCTGTCCAATCAGCTGCACCCTTGGGCCCCTGTTGAACACAAAGGGCAGCAGAGCCCTCCTTGAACACAACGGCCCTCCCTGGCTCTCCACTCTGGGATCCAACAGTGCTTGGAGTCTGCACCACACGGCTGGCGCCTGGGGCACTGGTTCTCCTGTCCGGCTCATGGCCTCAGCCCAACAGAATGGGTCCTAAGGTTGTGGTGCCATGGCTGATCTGCTCTCACTCCTTCGGAACTCCTGAGCCGGAGCTGG